AGATAGTCACTCACTGAAGATAATGGTGGGCGGCAGCGTAACTTCGTGGATTGGTTGAAGTTAGACATTAACAACGTTGGATGCCGGTTCAGTGCTCTAGAGTTTAAGCGTTCGCACGCGAGACCGACAGGTCCAGGTTTCGAGTCTTGCGGGGAATGATCGTGGATGCGCACTACTAAGGAGTCCCGTACTTCGAATAAACGCCCGCCCAGTGCTTCCAGGTTTTTCGTGGTATTTTAGCTTCAATCAACTCGTGAATTCAACTATTATATATATATATATATATACTATTGTTTGATAATAATATTTGGTTACGGTCCAGATATCATTTCTATCGTCACGTGCTATAATTGAAAAATGTAGTGTTCATGATTATAATTATGAACTGAACATCCCTTAGAATCTGCAAAATAAATGTATACCACAAACCCAGAATAACCAATTAGCAAATGTACACTGATGGACAAACAGTTTATAAAAATAAACATGAGTATTATTTATTTGAAATGTTAGTTATTGGAGGATGTGGGGTTCGGAAATTCGCTCATCGCCCCATAAGTTCAAATTCTTCAAACTTGCATCAATAATGAATCTAAAAATCTATGAACAATGATAAAACTAATAGTAACCGATAAAAGCTTCATCGAAAACTATAATGCAATTGGTTAGACTATTGCGAATTACAAAGAAAGCGAGTAATTTTAACCATTCGGAAAAAAATATCTTTTCAGCTATGAAGAGCTTAGTCCTTATAAGATTTCCTGAGTTTATAGCTATAATATTACTGAAATTAAGTATGTACTGTTATAGCAGAACATTTGTGAGAATTGTATTACTACAGTAAGGAGACGATGTCAAATAAGTTTTTTTACTAACTTACATAATGATTGTAAACGTCATTTTCATGAGATTTATGGTTTCAGTGAACTTTCATGAACTTTGTAAAATGATTTGCCAAATGACGAATTTACATAATCACATATTTCAAATGTATGGATATAATACCTAGTTATAACACATTAAATTGCTTTACATACATCATTTTAGTTTCCTCATCAGATAGTTATGTCGCTGTACATTGAACTTAAATATTAGCTTACACCTCTTTAATTATAAGTAATGTAGCCGACGAAGTGCTTATAAGAGCCGAAATGCGTACAATAAATGTTTGGTTTCCTGTTTACAAAGTAATAATTACACTTTTCATGTTCATAACAACAATTAGGTGTACAGAAACTAGATAAGTCCTATAATACTTTTAGATTTTATGATATACTATCAGAAAGCTGACACTGAATAAAAACTAGAGTTTTAGTTCAGTAAATATATACTATTTGACCACAGATGCCTAAGAAATATTGCTCACACCTGCTGAGATCATCGAGTAAGTAATAGTGAGGTTAGACACAAAGTATTAGGGAATAATGGTAAATCAGTTGTTAAGGTTGTGAATCTTGATCGACTGAGATGGTTGGGCCACGTAATATGTATACCCGAACACCGATTACCACGACGCGCAATGCTGACTAGTGTTGGGAAAGGTTGGAAGAAAGTTGGGGGCAGCCAAATTAAAACGTGGTATCAGATGCGAGCAATATTTCTAAGGCATCTGCAGTCAAATACTAGTAGTTTACAAGTATTTTCTACTCTTAATGGCCATGTTTCGCAGCCGTAAAGTAGAACAGAACGGACTGCAGCGCAGTATGCTTGTCCATTAATTTATAGACGGATATCTCGCCTTCACCATAGTTGACGTAAGTTGGCAAAAGCCAAACGAGCTTTTCGAATCCGTGCTGAGATTTCGTCAGACATCAACCCACTACGGCTGATCAAACTTCCAAGATAGGTGAAGTCGTTGACACCTCCGACTACTTCACCCTCTATCCTTAGTTCAGGTGTTGACGCAAGCAAGTTCTGAAGCAACAACGTGCATTTAAATGGGGAGGGGCGCATTCCAAACATTCTGGCATTGTTGCTCAATGCTATCAAAATACTCTTCGTCTTCCCTTGAACTATGAGATTAAAGTTATTTCATGTCTTTCTTTCTACGAACTAATTCTTTCTTTCTGTATTATATCCTTACACAAAATCTTTCCTTTATATATTACACCACTGAGTTAACTGCTTCTATGAATCCCGTGTTCGTCTTGCTGCGCTTATGAGATATGGCAACTTGAACCGGTGCATGTATGTGCCTGATCCTACGTTGTAACTGACTGACTGACTGACTGACAAATATATACTCGAGAAAAAATAAAACAGCAATTACGGCTGACTGAACCCAGTTTATTGCTTATTCTTAAGATAAATGTCTAATACTGCTTTTTTTCAATTATATCAGTAATTCTAAAAAAATTACTGACTGGCTGCATTTTATCAAATTGTATTGATTTGTATATTTCTCAAAATATTTCCTTCCTGTTTATAATGTACTACAGTTTATTCTGATTATAAAATTGAGAATTAGTAGTTAATATTTTGCATCTGTTTACTTACTGTCATGATTATTAACACTTATTTTAGTGTTTATAATCATATAAAAGCACTAATTCAAGGTTATAATCGTTACATTGTTGTTGTGCTTTTTTTGTTGTTGATGATTTATATCAGTAGTTTTATCAAAATTACTAAGACAACAGAGATTATACTTACTATCACTATTAGTTTGAATTGTTTTGTCATTAGTGTGTGTGTGTGGGTGTGTGTATGTGTTCATCTGATTGAAAAGTTGCATTTATTTAAAATTAAAACGTTAATTTTCAAAATTAAGAAAAAGTGTGACAAAAAAAAGAATGAGCAAAAGTCATTAGAAAAAATAAGTGGCACCGTATTCAATGGAAGTAATTTTATTTATTTTAAATGACATTCTGTCACAAAGTATATTATCAACAAAATTGAAATAAGTATTTATTCATTTAAAGAAGAAAAGTAGTTCAGTCAAGAAATTGTTTGTTATTTTTTTTTTAGGAAAAACAGCAATGACTGAAATTTGAAAAAATATTTCACTCGAACGATAAAAAAAGAGTTTAGTAGAAAACGTTTACTGAAGACAAAAGGAAACATGAACAAAACTGAGTGTAACATAAAATTGATTAAAACGAATCAAATAATAAGATCTGTAGGTAGGTTTAAGGTTCTAAATAAAGCTTGATTTTATATCTATAATGCATAAAAACACAGAGATGTCGATTTGTGTTATTTCAATGATTTTTTGAGTGTGTGGACAATTTGAAAATATTTTTTTTAATTCACAGAACATAGAGGTGTAGTTGGCTATCTTATTTTAGGTCGATATTATACTCGCCATAAGACAAAAGTTTTATGGGTCTGCATTGCTGGGAAGCTAGAGAGAAGCAAGGGATCAGTACATTCAGGTTTTGAATGTTTATTATGTAGAAAATATAGTTCTAATATAAAAGGAACTGTGACATACCGAGAATTAAATTTGTAGTGTTAAGTCGTGTCATTTTATAACTCATTCGAATATAAATCAATAAGATGGATTACGTTAGTATAAAACTTTATGAAACTTCTATGTAATGAAGTCACTTAAGAAGCAGAACTAATATCTCCTGGCAACTAATGGTCAAAATCATTCATACATTGATTAGGAGCCCCCTTACCAACTATATAAGTTTGGAACATTATGAAATAGTGTTGGAGATAACTGATAAACACCATGAATATTTCTAGAAGGATGACTCTTATCGATTTTAAAGTTGAAAACTACTATGGAAAACGTATTTTATAAGTCGATATGAGCTTTGCGTTAGAAAAGGAGGTACTGAAGGTTTTTCCATAACGAACAATAATCAGACATTAGTTATGGAAAGTCGTTATCAGCTACTCGTCATGATTTATCTTCATTGAAAAACTGAATTTTTTATGAAATGGTTGCTACAAATTTTATACATCTTTCAATTCTTGATATTATGTCAATGTAAATCACCATCTAAAGATCTAAAAGAATTAAACCCACTAGTTTCAAACACCGCTGATAACTAAATGCCTAATATTTACCGTAGAAACATTCATTCAGCTACATACAACAAAAAAATCATCATAGAGATTTTATAGTATATGATTTTGCACTTTAGGATAATTTGACATTGACTGTTTTATGATGAAACAAAATGTACACAATTTATAAATTAGCAACACAAAGTGTAATGGGTTTACTTGCGAATTCTAAAACAACACATAAAGGCAATTAAGAAAACGATATCGAATTGTAGTATTTTTTATAAATGAATGGTGTGAAACTTATCGACCAAATTAAATAAACCTCAAATTATAAATAAAATATACTGGTTTCTTCTTCAATCTTTTATTTTAGGTTCAGACCGTATCCATACATAATATATAGCGGTATGTAAATGATGATGCGTCCAATTCGAAGTGCAATTAATGGTCGTTGTACCTGGATAAAACAGTACTGATTTAGAAACTAGCACTGATGTTACTTAATGTAGCAATCTTTGTTTACATTTCACTGTAGAATGATATAAATGCACTGATTGTTCAACCACTGTTCTTAACAATCACAGTGTTTAGTTTATGTTAACCATTCGTGTTAACCAGATCTTTAGTTTTCAGTTAATATGTCTACCAGCCTATTCAGTATCATATAGCTTGATTATATAACACTTTAAAAACGTTTTTTACTGCTAAAACAAAATGGAACTTTTGGTGGTAGTAGTAGTAGTAGTAGTAGTAGTTAAAGCCTATATAAGGTATTCAGTTTTATCGGTTCACTAGCAGAGGCTTCACATCTTTTTTGAATAATACAGATACATAACTAAGTATAATTTTTGGAAACGAAATAATAATATTGTTAATAGTAGTAAATACACGATATTATGTTACTAGATAGGTGACGAATTATTAAAACCGACCAATCAGCCAATAAGATATAGTATAGTATTAACCAATCAGGAAAATACTTTTTATGTGAATTAAATATATATACTCCTTCATTTTATCAAACTAAAAATGCTATTTGATGAACCCTGTGAATGTTTGTTTCATTAGATAAGCGGATGACTATTAGTGTTTTTTAAGAAAAATTCCATTATTACTATTATATTCATAAACAATGAATTCACCGAGTATTTTAAAAACTACCCGTCGTTCAAGAGGCTATCGAAGTTTAAGTAATGAAATATCTAACGAGACAGATACAGAATTACCAACTATACATGACACTAATAACAACAATAGAAATACAAGACGTACCAGTACAACATCATCATCCATGCACTTTGCTACCAATCTTGTTTATAACTTATTAAGTCCTAAATATTCACCTGTATTCCGCAGTGCACGATTTAAACAAAAATCAATTCTTAAAGAGACAAATAAAAGGTCAAACAGAATTCCAAATTTGCATTCATCAATTTCTTCCGAAACATCATCTTTAGAATCATTGGATTCACTAAGTTCAACAGATCTGTTACCTTCAGTTGAAGTGAAAAAACATTCAAAGAAAGTAATTAAACAAAATGATGAAAAAGATAGAATTATGGAAGAGCAAAGGAATAATAGTTATCAACTCACGGAATCCAATCTACCTGGGAATAATAATAATAATGAACATAATGATATAAATGGTCAACAGCCTTTGAATGTTTATGAAGGTCGACAAACCGATGATTGTTTAAGTAGTGTAAGTTTTTTATTCTTACATTTTTTATCGATTTCTTGAAATTATGTTTGATGAAATAGAGTTAGTTAAGACATTCAAGGTAGGAGAAAAGTGTGTGACGTTGTTTTGCGGATAAATGATTTTATACAGTGACATAGATATCTATTTGTGCACGTCGTTGGTAATATGATATTACAAGGTTAACGCAGACTATTTTTTACACATACTCTTTCAATTTAAAATGGAATCATTCCGAGTGAGCCATCAATTATTCTATAAAATGTCAATTTAACAGAACGTTTACATGAATTTAAGTAGTTTTTCATTCAACTCTAGATTCTCTCAATGTGATTTGTGTGAACTTTAGATTTGGTATCAACAAAATGCTGGTGACAGTCGTATAGTACGTAGGGATGATACGTTTAGTACGCATGAAAGAAAAACTCATTGACATACTGTTAGTAATATCTGCATTAAATGCAATTTAAAATCCAATGAAAAAGACTCATTCCTGACAGGTCTTTCATAAAAGATTTCAGTTTTCGTAACAGCGTCATGATGACAAACAAATGTTACAATCAATAAATGTTTTCTTTCTGTACAACCTGAAGTGCATTTTTACTTGGATGCTTATCGAGTGCAATGCTTTTATTAGTTACCATGTGAAAATCAACAGTAAACTAACATTGCTGATTGCTTGTCCTGATAACATACTTTGTTCATCAAGTGTAAATTTGGATTTCATCATCTACTTGACTAATCTTGGAGTTAATCCTACATCTTGTTGTCATTTGTGCATAACAATAAATTGGAAGTGAATTAATAACATTTAACACTTTTCCAAATCACAGTTAACTAATTAGGTTTATATACTACTAAATAATGGATTTCAATATACTACCAGAAATTTTCATCATTAATTAAAATTATAATTTTTATGTGACTATTTCTATTCATTTTCCTATAACTTAAGTAACTAGTTTTGTTTAAATGAACTTAATACTTTAAATAAACAGGCAAGTTAAAATGACATTAATTTCTTCCTTTATTAAGCTTATAAACTGTTAAGTCTAATTCACAAATATCTTTTTACCACAGTTTCGTATAACTTTTTAAAAATGATTTATTTGTGAGAAATTTTGACAGACAATTGAACTCACATCTCCATATTCAAATGGATTTAAAGACTGAAATATAATTTCACACAGAAATGTTTTTCAGTGTATGATGTATTACAACAGACTGAACGAATATGCTGAATAACCATTAGTACACTGAAGTTTATTTCATACACATTGTTCCCTTTATCATCTTAAAGAGAGTTAATGATGGATTTGGCTTGATCTTGGTGGGAAAAAAATACAAAGACGATATGTGTAGTTACTTTTTTATACGGAGCATATCTGATTTCGAAACTGTATTAAAAATTAGTTTTCCAACGTACATGCAATTCATTAATCCAAGACAACAAGAATAGAAATTTTAAAGTTTGATTTCGCCCTAGCCTAATTCGGTGATGTTAAAATTATCCAGCACACTTTAAATACTTACTGTATTCTATTTATTGATAAACATAATGAAATGATTTCATTAGCTAGTAACTACAAGATTAACAAGGACTGATTCTGTCTAAAATTACAGTGGAATAATGTACACCTTGCTGTATACTATGACTAGCAACAAAATAAGACAGTTGTAAATCCTATCTTAACTAGTATACTGAGCTGAATAGATGTCGGTCACACTAAAGATTTGAAGCAGTTTATTGATGAAAATACTCTAGTAGACAGAAATTCTTCAAAGTAAATTTATTTGGGTCATTTCTTATTTGACATATATTGGGTTTCAATGTATATTTTAAGTTGTTCTTTTTTAATGTCACCTGATTTTAGGCTTTTTATTTCTATCTAAAATAAGGTTAAACAATTATTACATGTCTTGATACTCAAAGGGAATTAAACTGAATAGTTTGCGACGAGGGTTTGTAAACATGTTACAAATGTGATGATAATATTATGCCAGATAAATTAAAATTACCACAGTCAACAACTTCAATGGGATTATCTGAAATTTCAAAAGCATCACTATTGATTAGGTTAAAAGAAGTTTAGTATTTAGATGGAAAATTGTTTTATACATCTTTCTTTTTTAATGATTGTTTAACTTGTATAAACTCGTAATGAAATACCTTAAAATGAAAACTTATTAAATAACTCGTTTATTCTAATCAAACTATATACTGCTTAATTGGCAGATTAGACTTACTAAAAATACTCAACTGAGGTCGAGTTATATTTGATTTCAAAAGTCTTATAAATATCACTAATGATGTTTTTCACGAAAACGGTTGATTTCAAATTTTTATCTGACTTTTTTAGTACTATAAGATTAGACGTTTCTAAGTCACCATTCACCCTGGAAAAATGTTCCATGAAATATTTTTGTAACATAAAAACAAGCAACGTTTACGTCTTTTTTCAGTTCACATAAATACCCAGTGTTGTTTTATCTTGACACTGTTTATGAAATAATAATAACCAACAGTAAATTGTACGTGAAAGCTTAGCTCTAATGCTTGTAACTAATATTATGAGGACATCATTGGATGTTTGTATACTATATGATAGAAAATCACTTGTTTCTAATATTTAAAAGATTTAATAATTTCCTACTGATTATTTAAGCTCTTTTTATAGGCGGCAACTAATGAGCTTTATCTCTAATTCTCAAATAAACATCAAAGGTGTAATATTTAATAGAGAGGTGAATTTCAAGAATTTATTCATTTTAAACTCTATGTTCCTTTAACAATTATGAGATTTTAATGACCAATTTCCGTTGTGAAGTAAAAATTATGGATAAACATTAGAGACTTAAAAATAGTTTATTGAGTTTTATTAAAATAAAAAGTTATACTTTTTGTGATTCATGAAACTATTCATGCAAACCACATAGGTTCTTAACCCAAACGTTATGCACTGATATGCAGTTATATTATTATTAAATCTCATGTAGTTCAAATAGACGTTAAGATATAGTTGAGGAATAAAAATCAGTTTGAATATGATATCTCTATTCTATCAATTAGCATTTAATAGATTAAAGTCGCAAAACTTAGCAGCCATTCCTCATTATTCTCTTGCTCTTTTTTAAAGTGAAAGGTTGAACTTACTGCTAAATCATAATTTCTGTAAAAGTAATTATAGATTTTTCACTGAAGTATAATTTTTAAACGTAATAATTCACTTTCATGATTATGTTCCTGTATTTTCATGGGGATTCTCCGAGTTCAAATGGTCCATCTCTGAGTTCTTTAACATTTCGTTATTTATACTATTAAAGGATGAATGAATGCATAATGTTGAGAAATAATGATACAATTCTAATCTTACAAAGAATATCCGGGAATTAAATTAATTGGTTTATGTATAACGTATAATTAGGGAAGATACAATAAGTTGAAATAGAATTTATTAATTATGTATTAAAATCTCAAGAATGGTTTATTGATCAGATTTTATTTGTGTAAATATAACATAGAATGTGACTTTTTTAAAGACTGGTCATTTAAATTTCAAGTCCTCAAATAATATTTACCTAGAAACGTCCGTATAAATGAGTCATAGAGTTTTCACCGTTAGCTTACAGTTAAACTTTCAAAACTGAGATCTATTTGCTTTGCGTGTAAAATATTTGATTCGTAGCCAGGAATTTGTATTTATGCCCATCTAATATTTAACTCACTCAGAATGCAGCTAACTAAATTCAGCCGGTTGTTTTATTTTTTTTTCTAAGTATATAAGAGAACAATCTAATATGTATCTATGGGAGCAAAATCAATGCATTTTGGAGTAAACCTAAATAAAAGAGAGCTCGACTAATTTTTATGGTAAATTTGACATTATTTCTAGAAATTTCTGTTTGCTTTGAAAAATAACAGAAACCTTGCCTGTTCGTATATTCGATTCTCATTTGTGCTTTAATTATTGTAGCATCAATAATAAAGTACCTGTTATTAAATCTCGTTTAGTAATTGCTTCTTTTAAAACTGCTTACAGATTACTTGTAAAAATATTTTTCGTCAATTTTTGTAATTTTAAGCTTCCTACTTTCATAGTTTTATAAGACATTTTAAAAAACCTATGTTTCCATTTTGAAAGACATTAGTTTATTTTCTTGGGTAAATATGGAGAATGTAAAAGCTGCTAAGGATCTTTCATTTAAGGTACAATTCATTTCTTTTGTAACAGTTTTGATACATTTAGCTATATTGAGTTGATTAGTTTTCGTTAATTTTAGTGAAGTGATATTCTAACTCCAAAATAAAACTTTTCGTCCCATATTTCCCATAAAACGTTCATTTTGAATGAAGCGATGTAGTTAACACTAGAGTCACAATTAAACAATACTGATCGTTTTTCTTGTCTTGTTTCCTTTTAGATATATGTTTGAATAATGTTAGCGTTATACTGAGAATTTCGATGTTTGTATTTTGAATTGATAACTGATTAATCTCGTATTCACCAAAGGATCTTAAAATACAAGTTAAATCCAGTAAGATACATGATTTTATACTATTGAGGAATATTATAACTATGTTAAAAACCCTCTCTTTCCTCTCTAATGTCATAAAAATATCGTCAAAAAGGTTTTTAACCCATTACATCATACATTATTCCATGAATATTGTAGATCAACTTAGGAACTAACAACAGAACTCTTGAAATCTAAGTGACACTTGCAGGAATATCTAAATTTAATGTTTAATCGAGTTTTTTTTGCATAATAACAATATGCACAGTACCTATTAATTTGTATATATATTTGATTTACACTAGGGTATATAAACACTGTTTATCTTAGAATTATTCACTTTATAAGATGGATATATATCAATTGTATAAAATAAATTCATCAACACTACAATAAACCACATTAGCTTAAAGTCGATGAGTAAATTATTGTTATAACTTGTGAGAACGTGTTCTAAAGTAAAGAATGGAAAAGAATATTTTGGATTGAATTATGTGTATATCAACATATATATCATGTAAAGGTACACAGGGAAATTCAGTAGTTTAGTACAGTAACAGACCTTGAATGATTTTCAGATTTCATCCATAAAACCTTATTCCTTAATCAATAGTCACCTACGGAAATAGATTTTTATTCAATTGAATATAGTAAGAATAATTATCTTTAAAATTAAGGATTAATTAAATGATATATTCAAGTTACCTTTATAAATTAATATCTCATAGACAAGTTTATGTCTGTGACATGATTCATGAATACCATAAAAGTTAAATTATTTACGTAGAAAATAATTTAAGATTTATTGTTCTGTCTGATATCTGTTTTTTACAAAGGTAAGGTATAATCAAGAAACTGCATTTCTTTTTTTGAAATTATAGTTTATTTCATAACAGGTAGTAAGATCTGAATCTAGACACATTCAAATCATTAGAGACCTATAGGTTATCTTTTTTGCATTTGAATGAATGTCTTTGATCATTTTATCATACGTAAATAAGCAACGTTTACTATAATTCATAGCTTTTAATGGTTTTTCTGTTTATATTAAGAACAATTACATCTTTAAGTTATCTTGGAGGCAGCATTTATGGGATCAGTAAATTGTTGTGAAGTAGTGGCTTAATGAACAATACATGCGCCCCATTAGATTATAAGTTCAAATGTGGATCCACCTACTTCGATCTTTGTAACAATACGATTTTCCTAACCTTTGTGTAAGACTTGTGAATTAAACACTGAGCTGAACTAAAAAAAGTATTACTCGTTACATGTTACATAACGGTAATATGTTTTAGATAAAGTTGTTTTATTATAATGAGTCATACAATCAATGTCAATGGTTTCGAAATGTATGTATCTTCTTAGACGTTTAGTTCAGTCACAACATAAATGAACCTTGAACACTAATTTGTAGTCTTTCAAATGAAATATCAATCTAGCAACTTGTGTTAAATAATAATTAATTGTTTTACATAATGAATAATTATTTATATGCTTATTTTTAATGTAGATTCTTATCAATTGTGAAGTGTAATTATGGAATAATTTTATATACTTCAGAAACACGCTAACATCCAGTGTCTGAAAAACAAAAAAGGAAACACAGTAATAATAGTTAACAACAATAAAATTGTTGCATGAAGATCTCCTTAATTAATCAATAATTTTTGAAATAACTACAAGACAATCGTCTGTAATAAGGTAAGAAGTGAATAGGATAAGAATAAAGAGAACTAGTGGACAATCTACATGTTAACATCAAATCATGTCAAATTAAGGTTTATGAAATGGATAATTTTGGAACAAATAAACTTGTTAATTAATTTCACTAATCTAAACAATTAAAAAGGTAATGAGTTCATATGGCTGATGACATGTTTTGATATTCTATTAATTAGCGAAATACAGTGATCTACTATCTAATATTTGAATAACATTGAAGATGATTTAATTGGTATACAAGTACATTTTTTCTTTTAAATTGAGTTGTTATCATAACAAAAATAATTGGACACTTTATGAAGTGATTTTCATTTGCTTACACGAATGTAATTGGGTTATTAAATTTTCATATGATCACTTATTCAATTTAATTGCATGCTTATCTTAATATTTAATAATTACACCTTTGAATATAGGGAATTCGATTACTGTTTCGTTTACCATTCAACGTGATCTGCTTTTATTGAAATACAATTTCATGTAATTTCAAGTTTTTTTTATTAATTGTATGTATAAAGCCTTCATCGTTATCTGGTTTAAGCACCTGTTATGAATATGTTTATTAGTTTGAGCCCATTGTATTTTCAGCTTAGTAGGTCTTTCATTAAATTCTATACAATCTTAGTTTTATTGTGTGTTTTTTACCTGATCATAAATTAATTTTATGACTTCATTTTTTTGAATAGTTTTGTATTATTCTTTTTCTCTAAAAGTTATTCAGAAATTTCGTTTCTTCTGTCTGGAGGAGTCACTGTTCTCTGGAAACAATTATATTTTATTTGGTCGATGTGATTTGCGAGTAAGTAAATAATTTGATAAGCACTACTCATCTCCTTCGTCTTCATTTCAATCATCCTAGTGATATATATATCTTACAGTTCAATAAAAACTGAACTCGAAATTTTTAGATTGTACACTTTTATTAGTGTGTTGAAATCTATAGTAAAGCTGGTTCCATCTTGAATAGTTCACTGTATAATGTGATATTAATTCGTTGGCACCTAGAAACTTCATTCTTGATGTTCGAACTACTTGATCTCTTATACTTCATAACAGATCATCTACAAATCGTCTTCACAGATCATGTATTACTCAAAAGAAAAATATAATTAAATAAGATCAAGATGTAATTTATAATTATTAAAAGCAGTGGTCAGTCAAAGGAGTTTTATAAATCTATATACAAAAAGGTTAAATTAATCATTATAAGTTTCCTCTGCTCAAGGTTACACCCCACTTATTATATACAGAATATTTGAAACATAAACACAAAACTTAAAACACGTTCATGTTGGAATTTACATTCTCGGAGACAATTTACACTCATTGTTTCCATGGTAAAAAGTGGTAAACATTAACAATTCTCGTGCACTTATTTTCACTCTTAGTAAATAAAATTAGCACACATTAGTGTACAAAAAGGAAAAATAAACAAAAATAGATGTCTTGGACTTGTTTTCCGCCTAATTTATCTTCTTCTTCAAAGTATTAAGTTCTCAACGTTTTAGTTTTTTTTAACTACGTAAATAGCTATTCAAAATTATTTAGTAATTACCGGTATGTTATGTCCCGTAACTGATGTTACATGTACATAAATCAAAAACATATTTTGTATGTAAAAACGAAGCATAAATTGGGCATAACATTTGATGTAGGTTTCGACAACATAAAAACTCAATCAAGGTTGGGTGAAAATATGATTTATTTATCACATTTCTCTAATTTGTTTTTTTCCTACATCGAATCGTGTTTATGACAAAAACTATGTTGAGTTTTGAAAACATGCAAACTTGGATGAATGACGTAAAGTTTTCGTTTAATGGTTAATATGTGAAAACAAGATAGTGAATAATTCAATTCATAGCTAAGTAAATATTGACAATTTATTTATAAATAAAATAAACATGATTTTGGTTTGGACTTTTCTTAAAAAAGGGAAGCATAGATACATCAGATTGAATGTTATACCATTTACAAATTTATTTGTAATTATTTCAATACCGTCTTGATGACTATCTAATCATGTACACCACAGGTTAGATGAATCCTCAATACTTGTATTGTTATTCCATTCGTTTTTTTAATCTAAAGCTTATCCACTGTATCGTCCATCCTAACATATTTCTGCTCAATCTGAGCAAACACATCTTATTTCCCCCATCAAATTTTGTAATTTTAAGAAACCATAACTATATGTTGATCTGTTGAACACATTAATAACCTGTTATTTTGTCACTGAATTAAACTAATCTACAGTTCAGTGACCAGAAAAATTATAATATAACAATCGGAAATGAGTCTGAGCTAGTAATCCTGTAATTAATCAAAAATATGATTGTTACCTTCCCCCAGAACCTCATATCTTACTGAGTCACTGAATATCAAGAGACCAAAGCCCAGCCTTTGATTGTCAAGAATACATTTAATGGTAAAATACTACTCTTTTTATACCCTTTGGGGTAGGAAAAACTTTAGATGAAAGGGACATAATTACGTGGGTTTATGTTGATTGGTTCAACATCAACCTATATTGTTCAGTAAGATTATTGCTATACGACAGTAACAATCGATGAAATTCAGAGTTGAAAATTTCTGACCTATGACATATGGTTTAAAGCGTTGATATCAGTTCCTTCATTTGATGTGCGATTAATAATTATATTAAATGAGTCAGTTAGCTTGAAGTATTTCTTTTTAAATCTTAATCTTTTTGGTGGAGTTACTTGTTTGAGAGTGTAAAGTAACTAATTAGTGTTTTTATATTATTTCAGTTTGAGAAGCAGATACCATTATTCAGGAATGTTGTTTTTAACAGTTTATTTGGTTTAGGAATGCATTCAACATTGTTGTCATTGTAATTCTTCGTACTGTAATGCATCCTAAACAGATGGCGTAGATTGTGCAAACTTTTATTCTACACAGAAATCAGGCTTCATTTTTGATCGTGCAAAATAAGTAGATATAAAAGATGGACAATAAACTTCGAGGAAATCTATCGGTAATAAATAAAAAATGATTTATCGCATGAGAAAAAGATCTTTTAATTTAGTAATAGAGCTCTGGTGATGACTTTTTGCCTCACTCACTAAATAAACTGGGTCAATTATGATATCTCCTGAGTATTTTCATGTTAAAATATGTTAGCCATGATATTTCAACTGACTAGCTCAATCAAACTGAATTAGACATAAGAAAAAAAACTATTGTCACTTTCATTACAGTTTTGTATAGCTAAGGGATCTTAAATAATGCTAAAACAATTATTTATTGTCACTCATTCTTAACGACTGTTCAAATAAAAGTCGAAATGAACAAACATTTAGAAATATCTCATAAAACAATGATACATTGACTTAATTAAGACCACATGACAACATTTTTTATTCATTTTTTTACAAAATAAATATTCAAAACATCTTAGAAAAGATAAAAATGCATTTATACTGCCATCTACAACAGTCAGTCAGTCAGCTACAACATAGGACTAGGCACATATATGCATCGGTCCAAGTTACCATACCTCATATACATCATATAACTCTAAAAACACGCATAATACTAAACAGAATTTTAACAAATAAAATTTGGTCAAAATTAATGTTAAAAACATCAAACAGAAAATAAGCAAATGTTCCAAAATAAGGATAACAATTTGTGTTATACATAAGGTACCTATATCTACTTTCAAAATATATAGTGAAATTCTTGTCACAGTGATAAGAATGAATTTTCAGTTTTATTTTATGAAATTTAGGACAGTCTGGAGTTATTTATTTCAATTTGCTTAATTTTTGGACAGATATATAACTGGGGAACATCTCACTATGTTTACAGATAATTCATTAGTCATCTTATTTAAGTTTTTGTCTTAACAAGTAAAAATTTCTTTCAACTTCCAGTGCTTTCTTTATCAGAAATCCTATTTTTTTAAAAACTTAAGTTATATGACATTGAGGTTGAGTAAAATTTATCTCCAATGTAAGTTGTTGTCAGCGCTTTTAAATGCTTCATAAATCATTAAGAAGTTTCGTAATTGTTATTTTAAATAATAAATTTAGTCAATCTAAAATGATCGGATTTTGAAGAAGCTTCTTAATATGCTCACTACGAAGATTAAAGACTATGAGCTTCATTCTATATGGAATTGTGGTAAGTCCATGATGAAGAACTTTAAACAAAACAAATGTTTATTCAGTACGTTTTGGTTTCCAATGGTTTCATAACTACAATCAGTTTAAAATGGCAGTTATTTGCAGACTTTAGAGTGATTCGCTCTAACAGTGTAGCATATGTGACGTCTATGGTAATAGTTGAAAATCCTAATGAACCGATTTGTTAAGCTTATTTTAACAGCCGTATAATTAGATTGCATAAACTACAAAATTCCCAGTATATTAATCCTACTTTTTTATATCTATCATAATATTAGGTAGTAAAATCTAACTTCTACAAACCAGGTTTAGAAAACCAGAATCAACATTTAAAAAAACTTTATTTTATACATTTGTGATCTGTGTGTTCTAGAGTTTCATCATAGATAAATTGTATAGTCAAAATCATTCATCTACTGAATATCCGTCTGAAAACTTATTGTTTGACAATCATTATCAAATATCCAGTACATACAGGTTTTTCAAAACATATATCAAGTAGTTGAGCTATTGAAAGTGAAACAGGAGGACGCTGAGACTGAATATCAGACTTCAAATCATCAGCTAATCGTAGCCTTGATTTTGAATGAAATATTTGCTGTGTTAAACTGTTAGACATCAAAGTAAATCTTAATGATGAGCTATTTATTACAGTTGTAAAGATACATGGTCGATAAGAAAAATGTTATTCACCACCAATATAAACATTTTGACTAGCTTTTTTCAACTCATTTTTCGATGCATCACTGTGTTTGGTTGGTTAACCAGCATAAATTATGTTAATTTTCTTCCGAATATTATTACAATAAATTTAAATAGTTCCTAGATCTATATTCACCTGAACGGATTGAATTTGTTGTTAATAAGGAAAGTGGGGAAACACTTCATATGTAATAGGTTTGATTTTAAAACTAGCCTGTTAACATTAACAAAACAATGACAAATATAAAGAGAAAAACGTATGTCGTATATATATATGTTTGTTTCCAATCATCATAAAAATGGATAATGGGGTTTCGGTTGACGAGCAGAATTCGTAACTCAAGCATTTCATAATATCTAGATATTTCTTTATGATTTTAGCCATACACATAGCTTTTTAGTAACATATTACTGTTCTCATTGTTATATACTTACTGCTTAGTTTGAATAATTTAGAATAACTAATGCTTTTGTATAAATGTTAATACGTTTACTGAAGTATATTTGTATAGATTATCAAAAAAAAACTATCACTAGCCATTATGTTTTCACCTTGAAAATTGAATTTTTATAGTGTTTGTACTCGGTTACAAACTGTACAACACTGAAAACAAAGTCAAATGAATTATACACTTCCACATCTTTGTACTATTAAGTATATTCTAATAGTTAAGTTAATTATTTAGGTAGTATGCATACAGAGGTTTAAATTCAATCCTGTTGTATAGTTGTGTATACAGTACCAATCAGTTAGTCTATTTACGTCATACAGCAAGTAATTTCATCAATTTTTTCTAATTCTATCCATGAATTACATCAAAAAACCAATGCTGTAGATAAAATGTTATACCAATCTCCACAGGATTGGTGTATAAATTGAATAAACAACATCAGTATAAAAGACAGTTAAAGACAAATGCCTAATCTAATTAGACCTACTATAGGA